TAATGACATGATATGCAAGTGAATTGGATTTAAGTGAGAGAAGGCTGTGCAAAGTCACCAGCCTCACTTTCTCCTCCAGAGCCATCTGGGTCCCATGGCCAAATATAGATCAGGATGACTACAGATGGCCCTCGACCACTGCTGAGGTCAGTACTGGAGAACTAATCCAACTTCTGGCACTCTCCTCCCAGCTCCTTCCAATTGTTTATATAACCTATGTAAACAATTGCATACACAATGCAACTTGTTCCCCAAATCTTTCTTCCTATTGCCTGGGAGTGATGAAGGAGAAAGCTTTGGGAAGATTGTGAGGAAGGATAATACAGTTTCCCTATAGTTTTGCTATGAATAACAATTTTACTGTGTTTTTGTAAACTATATTATCACTAAAAAGTCAATTTTCTCAACCTGTGAATTAGGTTGGACAATGAATAGCAAGTTTCCTAAAGGCAAACGGAGACAGCCAGATCCAGATTTGAATAATTTTCATATTCAGAGTGATATTTCATTTCTTTTGCCCACAGCCAAAACCTGAATCGGTTCAGTACAGGCAGCCCAAGTTGTGTGAACTTAGTTTGGCAGTTAGTAGACTGAGATACAGTGAGTATGGGGGCCTCTGGGGAAGTCAGCACATGTCCACAGAACATCCTCGGGTACTTTCCTATTTTGAGAATAGTGCCCATGTGGTGGCTAAATTATATATTACTTTCTACCTGGCTGATTAATTAAGTAATAGCCTGCTTTAATGGAGTTTGAAGAAAGCAGGGAAACAAGCCTGTTGTGGTCAGCTTTTACTACAGCAACACCCACCAAAGGTAAACCTAGCCCATAGCACTTGCCACATACGTTTAAATGCTTGTTACGATCTGCTTTCATTGAATTACTTTCAGGGAACTTTCCTTCCACAATTTTTTGCTGTTTTCCAAGGTGATACTGTTCATAATAAGGTGGCATAACTGAAGCATCCAGGTGGAAAATCAGACTTGAGGTCAGGAAGACCTGATTTCATATCTGGCCTCAAACACTTACTTGCAAGCTATGTGATCTAGACAAGGGAGAAGAGAAGGGAATGAGCAATTTCTATGGCTACTATTACATCGCAAGGCAGCTAGGTGGCACAGTGGATAGAGTGCTGGGCACTCTTAAGTTCACCTCCAATTCACTTGCATATCATGTCATTACCTCTTTGATGTCATGGTCCTCTTCAAGAATGAAGGACAAACAACAACCTATGAGTAGAAAGAAGAACTGACTAGTTGGACAGCAATTCTCCTCTCCTCTCCTGAAGTCAAATTTGAACTCTGTAAGAGGAGTCTGCCTAACTCCAGACCCAGCACTCTATCCACTCTCCTCTCCTCTCCTCAGAGTTAGGCAGACTCCTCTTACAGAGTTCAAATTTGACCTCAGATACTTATTACTTGTGTGACCCTGGGCAAGTCACTTTGCTCTGTTTGTCTCAGTTCCTTATCTGCAAAATGAGCTGGAGAAGGAAATGGCAACCCAGTCCAGTATCTTTGCCAAGAAAACCCCAAATGCGGTCATGAAGAGTAGGACAACTGAACAACAATATTCCAGGAACAACAATTTTACAAATATTATCTCATTTTATCCTCACAACAATCTTGGGGAGTAGGCATTGTTATTATCCCCATTTTACAGTTGAGGAAACTGAGGCAAACAGTGGTTAAGCGACTTACCTAGGGTCACACAGCTAGTAAGTGTCTAAGACCATATATGAAGTCACATCTTCCTAACTCCAGACACTGTGCCACCAAACTTCCCATAGACAAGTCTCTTAACCTATCTGCTTTAGTTTCCTCACCTGTAAAATGAAGACAGTGATAACACCTACCTCCCACGGTTGTTGTGAGGATAAAATGAGATATTTCTAAAATCCTCTGCAGGCTTTAAAGTGCTACCTTAAAGTACTCGTTATTATTATTACTTTCTACTGACATCCTTCATAAGGTTTTGCAAATGAATTTATATTTTAAACTAATGTTCCTTTTGACTGCCATAACTTTCTGCTTGGCAAATGAGATCAAGGCTTCCCACTACACCTAGAATCCACTCCCTTCTCATCTCTGCCTCTTAGAGTTAGCTCTATATAATGCAGCAGTGAAGTCCTGAAGACCTGGCTCCAGATATTATTTCTGAAACTTACTATTGGTGTGATGTTGCAAGTATTTCACTCCAGCCTTAATTTCCACATCTGTAAAGGGAGAAGAATAATAAAAGTAGAACTTAGCTCATGGGGCTGTTTTGAAGTTCAAATGAGATTATATCTGTAAAAATGTTATTTATGTTAACCCCTAGTTTCCATCTACCTGTCTACCCTGGACATCTTGCATATGCTCTGTCTGTTCCCCACCCTTTTCTCACCTGAGGCTGCACCCCCAACTCCCACCTCAATTCTCCATAGACCAAGCTACCCTCCCTAGGGAGGTGGAGGGAAATACACTCATCAGGCTAAGAAGTCCTGACTCATGAGTGCAAATTCATCTAACTACTATAGCTAGCTGGTTCCCAAACCATATTTCACACAGACATTGGCTCTAGGGTTTCTATTTTAAAATATATTCTTTGTTATGTGGAATAGCTTCCTAGGAGGGGGAAGGGATACAGGGAGAAATCTAGGTAATGAAAAAACAAACCCCCCAAAAAAAACCCAATAAGATTTTGTCTTTTTTTTTTTATTTTTTCTTTTTTTTGCATGTGCAAACAATTTTTAACATTTGTTTTTAAAACTTTGGGTTCCAAATTTTCTCCCTTCCTCCCTCCCCACCCACCCTCATTGAGAAGGCAAGCAACTCGATAACAGGTTATACATGTGTAGTCATGCAAAACACTTCCATAGTAGTCATGTTGCGAAAAACTAACTATATTTCCCTCTCATCCTATCCTGCCCCCCCCACTTATTCTATTCTTTCTTTTCACCCTGTCCCTCCTTAGAAGTATTTGCTTCTGATTAATAAAATTTATTTTTAAAAAAAGAGAGAAACCTAGAAGACCATCTATGCCAACCCCCTCCTTTTCCAAATTGAGGTCCAGGGAAGTGAAGTGACTTGTCCAAGGTTACACAGTAATGAAGAGAGTCACGATTTAAACGCAGGTCCTTTACCTCTAAATTCATTGGTTTTGGTTTTGAATGTGTTGTTTAATTTTACTGAACTTTTTGTTTCCTCTTTTTTTCTTTGTTTTAAAAAATGGCTGGGAGGGATGGGGGAGAGCTACATTGAGAAACGTAGCTGATGTAAAAACAAAATATATCCATAAAATTTTATTTGAAAAAAAAATAAGGATTTGGCGTCTCAGCTCTGCCACCTGTGTGACTTTGGGCAAGTCACTTAACTTCCTTAGGCTTCAGTTTCCTCATCCATAAAAAGAGAGAAGACTCTGGTCCCTTCCAGCCCTACGTAATTCGTCTACCCTGGATGCTGGCGGGCATCCCTCCTAACTCTTCATTTCCTCCAAAGACTCAAAGAAGAGTAATCAAATCAATAATACGAGAATTCTGGAAAGGGTGTTAAAATCAACTGCACCAAAGCTGGGTGAATGACTCACTGGATTAAAAGTCCCTTCTCAGGCTCCAGATATCTCACCCTGTTAGAATGTAAGCTTCCGAGGGCAGCTGACCGCCTCTTTTTTATTTGTATTCTTTGTACTTTACTGTACTGGGCAGGCAGAAGGTAGGTGCTTAATAGTCAATAAATATTTTTGTTGTTGTTCAGTCCTACTCTTTGGCGTTTTCTTGACTAAGTTACTGGAGTTTGCCGTTTCCTTCTCCAGTGAATCCATTTTGAAAAGTTTGCCCAGGGTTACACAGCTAGGATGTGTCTGAGTCTGTATTTGAACTCAGGTCTTCCTGACTCCTGGCTCAGTGTTCTATCCACCAAGCAAGTAGCTGCCTCCTTATAGTTAACAAATACTTTTTCATTCATGCAAGCATTCAAGGCTCAGCTTAGGTGCCAACTCCCAAAAAAGGCCTTTTCTGATCTTCCCAATAGTTCTTTCCCTCTTCAAAATACCTGGAGTTACCTGTGTAGATGTACGTGGTGTATCTCCAGCCTGCCCCATACTCAGGTTAACTGCTCCCATGTTCCCCAGTGAGTGCAAGTTCTATGAATACGGTTCACTTTTGTCTTTGTTCATTTGCTAGCACACTGCCTGGTACACAGACTCTTGATACATTTTTTACTTTGACTCCCCCAACTCCACAGGGATCAGCGCGAACCAAGCACCACCTTCCAGTTCAAGCCCTGCACTACCAGGACCCGGGGCTTGCACGCATGCGCTGCCCAATTCCAGAAGGCAGGAGAGAGGGGGAGAGAAATGCGGACGTAAGAAAGCAAAGGCGGAGGGAGGAGGGAGGATGCACGTATTTCCGCTCCGGCGGACAAATACTACGGGCCAAAGGGGAGGAGGCTAGTACTCCTGGACCCTTTAACAGAGTGGGAAACGGGTGGGGAAAGTGGGGAGGAAAGGGAGGTATCGCACCCCTTTAATCACACACCCACACCACACACTTTTTGCCCCCCTCTAGCTTCCTCCTGAAGCCGCAGCCGCCGCAGTAGGCGAAGCCACGCGCGCTGTTTCCAGGCCGCCTGGCACGAGCCTCCCCCGCCCCGGCCCCTCCTCCCCAGCCCGCCCACGCGGAGCCGGAGTCGCGCGCCAGACCGCGCGCACGGGCGCGCACGTCCTTGCGCCTGCGCGTCACTCAGGCCTGCCTGTGCGTGGTGGGTGCCGCCGGCCCCCGGGGGGGCGGGGGGAATTAAAGAAAAAAAAAAACTGCGCGTGGAACCGATCCAGGTGAGAGGCGCGCTTGCCGATGGGGTCATGGGATTCAGGGGGACAGATTCCCCAGAGCAATTGGGCCCCGAAGGTTGGGGGGCAGGAGAGTAAGATGCTGGGGGGGGGCGTGCGCGGCGCGTACGGGTGGAGGGGGCCGGGAACGGGCGCGTGTAAACGTGCCCAGGAGGGCGGGGAAAAGGGAGAACGTGCCCCAGACTAGGGAACCCTCAAACCCCGGCCCCTGCCCCCCACACCTAGCGGGCACACTTACCCCCTGTCTTGCCCTGGTCCCCATGTTCGTGGGCGGGATGCTTGGGGAAGAAAGTATGCGACCCCGCCCCTCGTGGGACTTCGCCTTTCCTCCCCTCCCCCTGGGATGGGACGGAGCAAAAACTGAGGGGTGGGGGTGGTCTGGAGACGGAAGTAGCATGCTTCTGCCCCTGGGGAGGGGGGAAAGGGTGAGAGGAGGGGGCCGAGGCTTGGGGAAGGGGTGAAGGACCGGCTTCCTAACTAATTCGCCCTCCACCAAACACAGGGAACTCTCCCAGCACAGCCAGTACCATGGCATCTGGAGTGGAAGTCTTGCGATTCCAGCTCCCAGGGCATGAGGCTGCCACCCTTCGAAACATGAACCAGCTCCGGGCAGAAGAACGCTTCTGCGATGTCACCATCGTGGCCGACAGCCTCAAGTTCCGGGGCCACAAGGTAATCTTGGCGGCCTGCTCCCCATTTCTTCGTGACCAGTTTCTCCTCAATCCCAGTTCAGAGCTACAGGTCTCGCTAATGCACAGTGCCAGAATCGTGGCAGACCTCCTTCTCTCCTGCTATACTGGTGCTCTGGAGTTTGCCGTCCGTGACATTGTCAACTACTTGACTGCTGCCTCCTATCTCCAAATGGAGCATGTGGTAGAAAAATGTAGAAATGCCCTGAGCCAATTCATTGAACCCAAGATTGGCCTAAAAGAGGATGGAGTTAGTGGAGGGATTGGATTGACTGGGCTCAGCTCCACCAAGTCACTTCTTCCACCTGCTCGAACCCCAAAGCCAGCTCCCAAACCCCCACCACCACCTCCACCACCTCCTCTTCTCCGACCAGTGAAGCTAGAATTTCCCCTAGATGAGGACCTTGAGTTAAAGGCAGAAGAAGAAGAAGAGGATGAAGAAGAGGATGTGTCAGATATCTGCATTGTCAAAGTGGAATCAGCTTTGGAAGTGGCACAGAGGCTTAAGCCCCCTGGAGGCATTGGGGGGAGCCTTGGTCTTGGAGGGAGCCTTGGGCTTGGGGGCAACCTTAGCCTTGGAGGAAGTCTTGGCCTTGGGGGGAGTAGTGGACTCCTCATCAATGAAGTTGGAGAAACTATTGATGCACCTGATGATAGCACAGCACCCCAGGGGGTAGTGAAGGCCTGCTATAGCCTTACAGAAGACACAGAAGGGGAGGGTCTGTTGCTGTTTCCTGGAGGTCAAGTAGGGGAGGGCATTAGCCTTGGGCTGGGAGATGAAGCCCTAGCAGCAGCCACTATGTCCCGGAGCAGTGGTGTTAGTGGGAGTTATGGGGGCATGAGGAGTCCTATACCAGGAGGCTCCCCAGTGGGAAACCCACTGAAGAACATCAAGTGTACCAAGTGCCCAGAAGTGTTTCAGGGTGTGGAAAAACTTGTATTCCACATGAGAGCCCAGCACTTCATCTTTATGTGCCCTCGATGTGGGAAGCAGTTCAACCATAGCAGCAACCTCAACCGCCACATGAACGTCCACCGAGGTGTGAAGTCACACTCCTGTGGTATTTGTGGCAAATGCTTCACGCAGAAGTCTACCCTACACGACCACCTCAACCTTCACTCTGGGGCTCGACCCTACCGTTGTTCTTACTGTGATGTTCGATTTGCCCATAAACCTGCCATTCGACGCCACCTCAAGGAGCAGCATGGCAAGACCACAGCAGAGAATGTCCTTGATGCCAGTGTGTCGGAGCTCAATGCCCTCCTCCACTAGCTGGAGGAGGGATAACTAGGGGAGGGGGTGAGGTGAGGAGAGGAGATTGCTGGTAGAAGGGGGTGATGAAGGATCCTCTTTCCCCAAGGGGAGGAAGTTTGAAGGGGAAAAGAGCTTTTCTGTTTCCAGGAGAGTTAACATACTTCCTGGGGTTAAAGGCAGAAGTATTACAAAAGAACAGCTCCTCAGGTCTTCCTCAGGGGACTAAGAATGGGTTAGACCTTGCTGAGGGGATTAACAAACCTTTCCTTGGGATGATAAGGAAAGAAAAGTTTTCCTGTATTCTAGGATGAAAAGGGTCCAGGAAGAGGGAAGGCTCTTTTCTGGAAGATTATTGGGGTGAGGATGGTGTGCAGAGTGTAAGTAGTAAAAAGGGGAATATAGGAGAAGATGATTTTATCATAGGGTAAGAAAGCGGTAGAGAAGACTTAACTCAGTTGGGGTAGGTTGGGTGGGAATTGGGAGGGAATCTTACCAAAGCTATACCTATCCTTGGGTGGGAATAGAACAGGGGAAACCTCTTAAATTCTTGGGAGAGCAACTATTATGAGGAAAAGGTTATCAAATCCCAGGGAGAAAAAGTAGAGAATGTCTTTTTGCATGCTAGGGAGGAGGGGAGGGGGATGGGGATGGACTTTTGTCTCAGGAGACAAAAAGTGACAAATGGTGACAAAAATAAAAGAAAAAGGGAGAAGAATGGAAGTAGACTAGAAAACAATAGAGGTAAAAGGAGGTGGAAAGTCAGAAGTAGTAAGGGTTGGGGAGGGGACATGGGGAGAAGAGGAAAATACCTAGAAAAGGGCTCTTAGGCAGGGGAGGGAAGCAGCGGGGGAGGGAAAGGGTGTGGTAGAGACATAACCGTATTTTTTAAGGAAACATATTTTTCAGGAGTTTTCTGGAATTTGAGGTCTCAGTTTCTGTTTTTATTTTCCACAAAATAAAAAAAAGTTTTTTTTCTTTATGTTTGGTTGTTTGTGAGTCTGAATTGTTCCTTTCCTTCCAGTCTGGGCATCCTGGTACCTTCAGCAAACACCTCTTCCCTAAGACTACCTTGGCCATCCAGCTTCTGCTTCTGAGTTTTCTGTACCTATGCAGTGTTTTTAGTCACCTCCTGGTCTCCTCACCATGAGGGCAAAGACCATGTAAACTTTTTTCAACAGTACTTTGCTAAATTCTTAGTACTCTATATATATGGTGTTTCAGTCCCAACTCTTGTCATTAGCTAGTTGTGAGAAGTCACATACAAGCCTGTTGCTTCTACAGAGTGAGGAAATTAGACTAGATCAGGGGTTCTCAAACTGGGATGATAGGCTTGGATGGGGTAAAAATACATTTTTTTCCCCACTAAGCTCAAACAAACATTTCCTTCAATTATGAATTTTAAAAGTTATTCTGAGAAGGGATCCTTAAGCCTCACCGGACTGCTAAAGAGGGAGTGTCCATGACGCCCCCAAAAAGGTTAAGAACCCCCAAACTGGATGGTCCCTGGAGCCCTCTCCAATACTACTCCGAGTTTGTGGACTGGAGGAAAACTTCAGAGGCCGCTCTCAGCCTGTGCAAACTACAGCTCCCAGGAGGCCTCGGAGGCGGCCCCGGGTGCCCAGTTCCAACCCCCGGGAGCCGGGGCTGCCGACTCGTCCGGGTTCGAGGGCTGTAGTAGAGGCGGCTGAGGCGGGGTGTCGGTCAGTGAGGGGAAAGCGGCGTCTGCGCTTCTTCTGGTCGTGATGTCGTTAACGAAGTTGTGATTGTATTAAGTTCTTGGAGGGACCCGTGGCCGGCCGGGCGGGACTGGAGTGGTCTTTAATTAAGTCCTAGTTACTCACAATAAGAGCCGGGAGTAAAAGCCCTAGGTAAAGGGGAGGAGCGTCTCGGAGTACCCCCATCCCCACCTCCACGGGCAAAGTCTTCTCTCCAGCTCCAGCCCGGACCGAGACCAGAGGTAGAGGCACGGTCCTGCCCCTTCCCGGGACGCCCAGACCTGAGGAACCGCGGCTCCGGGGTTATTGGGCAATAGACTCGCACCACGGCGGCGGCCCCCGCCCCCAGTCCCGGCACTCCAACGGAGCGCCCGCGCTCGCCCCCCCCATGGTGAAGGCCAGGGCGGCCAGATCGAAGTGGCCTCCGAGGAGCCCGCCAGCCCCCTCCCGGGCATCCTCCGCAGCCCTCGGGGCTCCTATTCCGGGAAAATGGCAATGGAATAGGCCACGGCTCCTTTAAGGTTCTCTTCCTCCTCCCTCCTTCCACAACTCCCCCATCCCCCCCGGCCCACGTGACCCGGGCGGCCGCGCGCCTCCTGGGCCCCCCGCGCGAGCGGCTATGGCGGCGGCGGCGGGAGCTGCAGCGGCGGCGGCCGCCGAGGTGCGGAAGGGGAGGGGGGGGAGGCGGGTGCATGCCCGCCCGCGCGCGCGCCCGGGGGAAGCGCGCACTCGTGCAATGCTCCGGGGGTGCAACGGGGCCGGGGGGCCCGAGCCGGGCTTGCAACAAGCCGGGGGGCCAGCGTCGGGGGCCGGGGAGGGGACCAGGGGATGGGAGGCGGGGGAAGCGGGCACGGAGGTGCGCGTGCAGCCGCTGGCTACCCCCAAATGGGCGGATGGAGCCGGGGTCCCAGGGGCACGCGCACGGGGTGCGCGGGGCAGGCCGCCAAGCTGGGGGGGAGTGGGTGCTGGGGGGGGCGTCGTGCGGGGCCCCCGCGGCTCCGGGGACAAAGGGGGAGCGTCTCGTGCACCCGGGAGGAGGGGGCGGGGCCGGGGCGCATTGGCCACGCCCCCTCCCCTCCTTTCTGCTCCCGGGATGCGGGGGCTACCGAGGGGGAGGGGGTCCCTTCGGGCCCGGGGGAGAGGGCGAGGGCCACTTCCTGGGAGCCGAGGCAGAGGGCGAGGGGCAACCCATCGGGGCCGGGGGAGGGGGCGAAGCCTGCTCTCTTCCGCCCGGACCCAGGCGTCCTGGGTTCCTCTGCCCCCAGCCGGGTTGACCAGTCCCCCTACCCCTTGTCTCCCCTCGCAGGGGGAGGCCCCTGGTGAGATGGGGGGGGCGCTGCTGCTGGAGAAAGAACCTCGGGGAACTGCAGAGAGAGGTAAGCATGCAGTGTATACAGGATGTCTGTCCCCTAGCCCCCTCTTCTTCCCTATTGAGAAAGTAGCCTTGTTCCCAATACCCCCTTCTTTTTCCTATTTGTAAGTGACCCTTTCCAATAATCTGGCAGAATGATAAGCTACCTTTGCCCCTAGATTCCTTTCCTCTTTCCTTCCTGGAAGGAATCCTGTTCCCCAGCCATGTGTGTCTGTCAGTTTGTCTGTCTGTCTGTCTCTGTCTCAGTCATAGGGATCTTGGTATTCGTGATACCCCTCCTCATTCCCAAACCTTTCTTTTATCTTCTTAGGTCTTAGCTCCTCAGGAGATAAGTCTCCTGGAGAGGAGACCCCACCCCAGGACCATCCAGAGTCTGTGGAACCCACTGGCCCCTCATCTCCTGCCTCAGTCACAGTGACTGTAGGGGATGAGGGTGCTGACACCCCAGTGGGGTCCACACCCCTCATTGGTGATGAGCCAGAGAGTCCAGAGGGAGATGAGGGCATCCACAGTGGTAGGATGTTGTTAGGTAAGGAGGTTGGGAGGGCTTGAGACTGGGGAATTCAAGGAGCAGGGAGAACTGAGCTCTCAGGTCATATCGTTTTCCCTCCTCTCTCTCCCCACCATCTTGTCCAGGCCATGCCACTAAGTCCTTTCCCTCATCCCCCAGCAAAGGGGGCAGCGCCTGCCCAAGCCGGGCGAAGATTACCATGACAGGGGCCGGGAAATCACCTCCCTCAGTCCAGAGTTTAGCCATGCGGCTGTTGAGCATGCCTGGGGCACAAGGGGCTGGAGCTGGGCCTGAGCCTGCCCCTACCCCCACCCCTACCCCAACCCCTACCAGCCCTGAAGGGAAGCCCAAGGTCCACCGAGCTCGAAAAACTATGTCCAAACCAGGGAATGGACAGGTAAAGGGCATATGCAGGGAAGGGAAGAAGTATATCTTGGAATAAGGAGAGGGAGCTGGGAGGGGAAAGGGAGTCTTATCTTTCCATCTGTGTATTCCCCAGCCTCCAGTCCCTGAGAAACGCCCCCCTGAAGTTCAGCATTTTCGAATGAGTGATGATCTTCACTCAATGGGGGATATGGGAACAGGTATATCCTTCAACCATAGATTCTAACTTCTTTCTCACCCACGCCATTGGGACAACAGTTAACTTTAGTTTGGGGCATCAAAAATCTTCTTGAGGTTTGAGGAGAAAAACCTTACTTGACCTTATTAATTCCAGACATTGCCAAAAGGAGGAAGCTGGACTTGGGAAGTGGAGGCCCCCACAAGAGAGGACCCCATGGCTTGGTAAGGCTGATTCAGGGACAGGACCAAGGGGCAGTAAGGGAGCTAAGAACAGAATGACAGCCTCTTTGAGAGGAAAACAAGTACTGAAAAGGAATGGAAAGAAAAGGAGAGAGGTGTGGAAATAGAATATTTTAGTTCCATAGAGAAGGGATTTGCTGACAGGACAGCTCAGCTAGAGTAAGGCTGGGGAGGGAAAAGATGCTGACTCTTAGGTGGGACAGGTCTCTAATATTCAACACACTAAGATGCCTTCTAAGGGCAAGGTACACGGGTTGATGCAAAGAAGAAAGATAGTTTCTGCTATTGGGAAACTTAGTGTTTAGGAGATCTAACCATGCCTATCAATCAATCAACATTTATTAAGCTCCTACTATGTATCAGGCCCTGTGTTAAATGCTGGGGATACAAAAAGAGGCAAAAGATAGTCCTTGCCCTCAAGGAGCTTACAATCTAATGAGGGAGACAACATGCACACAAATATATACAAAGCAAGTTATATACAGAATAAATAGGAAATCATTAACGGGGAGGGCACTGAATTAAGAGGGTTGGGTAAGGCTTGGAATTTTGGTTGGGACTTAAAGGAAACCAAAGGAGGTCGTTAGAGCCAAGGAGGAAAAGCATTCTTGGCCTGGGGGACAGCCAGACAAAATGCCCAGAGCCCAGAGATGGAGTGTTTTGTTTGTAGAACAGCCAAGAGGCCAGTGTCACTGGATCAAAGACTATGAGTTTCAGAGTAGAGTATAAGACTTATACCTTAGGTTAGAAAGGGCTTTGAATATCAAACAGAGGGGCAGCTAGGTGGCTCAGTGGATAGAGCACCAGCCCTGGAGTCAGGAGGACCTGAGTTCAAATCTAGTCTCAGACACTTGACACTTCCTAACAGTATGATCCTGGGCAAGTCACTTAACCCCGATTGCCTTAAAAAAAAAAATTTGAATGTCAAACAGAGCATTTTATATTTGAACCTGGAGCCAATAAGAAGCCACTGGAGTTTATTGAGTAGGAGGATGACATGATCAGACCTACACTTTAGGAATCACTTTTGTGGTTAAATAGAGGATGTATTGGAGTGGGGAGAGACTTGAGGCAGGCAGACTGGCCAGCAGGCTGTTGTAAGTGTCTAGGCATGAGGTGATGAGGTCCTGTGTTATCATAGTAACAGTGTCAGAGAAGGGGTATGTTGCAAAGGTGAAATTGACAGACTTGGCAACAGATTGGATGTGAGAGATGGTGAGCAATCCAGGATGACTCCCAGGTTTTGAACCTGAGGGACTCAGAGGATGGTGTTGCCTTCTACAGTAATAGGAAAGGGGAGAGAGGAGAGATGTGGTTTGGGGGAAATGTAATGAGTTCCATTTTGGACATATTGATTTTAAGATGTCTACTTCCCAGTTCAGAATGTGTGAAAGACAGTTGGAGATGTGAGATTGGAGGTCAGCAGGGAGATTAGGGCAAGACAGGTAGATTTGAGGATGACATCCTCATAGAAATGGTAATTAAATCATGGGAGTTAATTAGGTAACGAGGTAAAGGTTAACCAAGTAAAGTAGTATATAGAAAGAAAGAGGGCCCGGGACAGAACCTTGAGGGAC